TTTTTTTTTTTGAGTTGATTCCATAGTTTTACTTAATTTATTTTTGTGGTGCTAGAATTTAACCTAGGGCTTCACACCTACTAGCAAATACTCTACCACTGAGCCACATCCCCAGCCCCTCCTATTCTGTTTTTGTGAGAATATTGGTTATTGGAAGTTTTCATCTGATGAGCACTAAAAAAGTATTTCATAATTGAAATTCCATAGTGGATTGAATTAAAACAATTAAAGCTCTTAATTAGAGCAGTTCTTTCCATTATTACCTTTATTTATATAGGTTTATGTTGGTGAAATTAGCTATCATAGGTAAATAAACATGTACAGCCTTTGTTGCTGTATAGCATACAATTATTTTTAGTTTCATAGAACTTCTTTGCCTGCTAAGATGTAGGCAAAAGCCACAGTTCCTGTTATGGATTTGTATTATGTGTGTGGTACTAGGGATCAAGCCAGGGCCTTGCCTATGCTCAGCAAGTATCTGCCACTGGGCTATACACCCAGCCCAAAGTATATATTCATTACTATTATAACAGTTGTTTTGTTTTATTTATTTTTTTATTATTTTTTTTAAAAAGAGAGGGAGAGAGAGAGAGAGAATTTTTTAATATTTATTTTTTAGTTTTTGGCGGACACAACATCTTTGTTTGTATGTGGTTCTGAGGATCGAACCCGGGCCGCACGCATGCCAGGCGAGCGTGCTACCACTTGAGCCACATCCCCAGCCCTATTATTATTTTTTGATACCAAGGATTGAACCCAGGGACACTTAACCATTGAGCCACATCTCCATCCCTTTTTTGTGTTTTATTCAGAGACAGGGTCTCACTGATTTACTAAGTGCCTCTAGCAAGTTGTTGAGTCTGACTTTGAACTCATGATCCTCCTTGCCACAGCCTCCCAAGATGCTGGGGTTACAGGTGTGTGCCATTGTGCCCAGCCAGTTGGTTGTTTTTAAAACAGTTTTATATAGGTGTATATATTCTCATGGGCCACTTAAAGCAGGTAGGAACATTTGTTCAAATAAATTGTTGATAATAAGTAGATTTTCTATCAATTCAGTGTTTCTTTATATAGTGATTAGAATTATACTTTTTGTAGAATTAGCATGTACTATCACTTTTGATCCTTAAGAGTGAATAAAGTATATACTTATAAATGAAATTAGACTCTTTTAAAACTTTTTATTCTTTTTATACATGACAGAATGTGTTTTGACATATTATGCATATATGGAGTATAACTTCCCATTCTTGTGGTTGTACAGGTTATGGAATTACACTGGTTGAGTATTCATATATGAACATACTGCTGTTTTTCCTAGTCCCAACCCTCTTTCCCTTTATTCCCCAAAATTAGACTCTTGAAGGTATAGAAATATAATGGGAATGTCAATCTCTGATAAATGGATGTGAAAATACATGGGTCCTAGGAGAGAGTTTTTTTTTTTCTTATACTGGGTCTGGCTGTGTTGCTCAAGTTGGTCTTAAATTTGAACCTCCCATCTCACTCAGTCTTTCCAGTAGCATTATAGGTGCATATCATCATACCTGAACCAGGAAAAAATATTCTTAAAAGATATTTTCTCCTGTTTGTTTATAAAGTAAAAAACTGAGGTTTGGTTTTTTTTTTTTTTTTTGCAATGCTGAGAATCAAACCCAGGGCCTATTGCCTAATAAGCAACTGAGCTATACCCCTATCCCCTCAAGTCTAAATTTAATCAAATATAAGGCAAAAATTTCAAAACACTGATATTAATAACAAAAAATATGCTGGGTGTGGAGGTGCATGCCTGTAATCCCAATGATTTGGGAGGCTGAGGCAGGAGGATTGCAAGTTTGAAGACAACCTTGGCAATTTAGTGCATGTGAGGCAGGCACTTTACCAACTGAGCTATATCCCAGCCCTAAAAGTTTACATTCTTTAGTCTATGGAAGGTGTTTCATGTATAATGTGGTGATAACAAAAGATTCCAAAGAGAAAGAGAAACTACTTTGATTCAGTAAGAAAACCTGCTGATTGAGTTTGATAAACATTTCTTCAAATTGAATCTCACTTTTAGTTTTTATTTAATGTATATTTAAAAAATTTTGTAGTTGTAGATAGACAGAATTCTTTTTTTCTATTTGTTTATTTTTATGTGGTGCTGAGGAACAAACCAGTGCCTCACCCATGCTAGGCAAGTGCTCTGCCGCTGAGCTACAGCCCCAGCCCTTAATGTATATTTTAATGTGACATTTCTCTTTAATTATGGTATGTACATTTTAAGTTTTACATTTACATTTTTTATGCATTTGTTATTTATTTTGGTATAAGACACTTACTAAAGATAGTCTTCTTTTACTAGAGCTTTATAGTTATACATAGTATGTTGGGTTCATCCCAACAAACTCAAACGTGCATGGAATTCAGTTCCTGTTCATGATCTTCTGCTGTTCCATCTCTCCTGTTCTCTTTCTCCCATTGTTTGTTTACTAGACTTCCTTTTGCTTGTCTATTAATTTGTATAATTGGTTCTTTTTTTAATATATATATATTTTTAGTTGTAGATGGACACAACACCTTTATTTTATTTACTTATCTTCATGTGGTGCTAAGGATCAAACCCAGAGCCTCACACATGCTAAGCAAGAGCTCTACCACTGAGCTATAGCTATAGCCCTGAATGGTTCTTTATGATGTCCTTTCCTTTATTTTACTCCAGCTTCTCATGCTTCCTTTTTTTTTTTTTTTTTTTTTGATATTGGTGATTAACTCCAGGGTGCTTTACCATTGAACTACACCTCCAGTGCTTTTTTTATTTTTTATTTTGAGACAGAGCCTCACTAAGTTGCAAAGGCTGACCTTGAATTTGGGATCCTCCTGCCTCAGTCTCTGGAGTCTCTGGGATTATAGGCGTGTGCCATCACACTTGGCTTAAATGAGGTCTTTAAATTTGTAAATTCACTGATTTGTGTATACTACTGTTGTTTACTTTAGAAGTATTTACGGTAGTTAAAAATTATAAACTAAATGCCTATCAGTAGGGCATCGGTTAGATCATGGCATATGCATGTGATGGAATCTTAAGTTACTGTTTACTAAAAATGATGATGTCTTTAAAGAATGTTTAATTTCAGAAAATACATATATGAGATTGGGTAGGAATTCTCTTTTGTAGTTTCCTGTGATTATACATATATATATATATATATATATATATATATATATATATATATATATATATCTTATCAGGAAAAGGTTATTTAACAAAAACTATCCATTTAACACCATTAGTATTTTTTTTTTATCATACAATAGGCTTTTCTACATCTCAGATTCCATTATCTTCTACTACTTCAGAGGACCTTTTTTCTTTTCTTTTCTTTTTTTTTTTTTGGTACCAAGGATTGAAATTGGGGGCACTTGACCACTAAGCCCATCCCCAGCCCTATTTTATAATTTATTTAGAGACAGGTTCTCACTGAGTTGCTTAGTGCCTCGTCCTTGCTGAGGCTGGCTTTGAACTCTTGATCTGCCTGTCTCAGCCTCCCAAGCTCCTGGGATTACAGGGATGCACTACCACACACGGCCCTCAGAGAACCTTTTTTCTGAGTGCCTATGATCTGATAGATATATGGAATTCTAAGTTAATTCCCCCTGTATTTTAAATGTAAGTTATCTGAGGATAAGTTTGTGTGTGTGTGTGTGTGTGTGTGTGTGTGTGTGCGCGCGTGCGCGTTGCTGGGTATTGAATTCAGTGCCATGTATCATGTTTTTCTTTATTAATTACAATTACCAAAAAAAAATTGTGTTCTCAGGAAACTTATGTTATAATATAATTACAGAACAGCAGTTTAGCCTCATTTTCTAAAAATGGACATTGATTTATTCTTGTAATAAAGTAATATCTCAGTATTAATTTGGAATTTTTATTTTTTAATCTCATGTAATAAAATCAGATTTTCTTGTAGCCCATTGTTTCATCAGTTTCTAAGGATTTAAAGTGCTAATAACTTGTATAAACCTGGGGAAACTTGAAGATCTTAGTGGTTGTGTGTGGTTGGTTAGTTGCATACCGGACTGTGATTTATATTTGTCTGTTTTGTGGAAATAGATGGGCTTTGCAGTTAGGATTTAACAATTAGCTCTTTTTCATAAATAATAGAATATATACTACTATAAATAATACTAAAGCAAATAGAACTATTCATAAGTCTGTTATAAATTCCTTTTATTTATTTATTTATTTATTTATTTTGTACTGGTGATTGAACCCAGGGGTGTTTAACCACTGAGCCACATCCCCAGCCCTTTTAAATTTTTGAGACAGAGTCTCACTGAGTTGCTTAGGCTCTCCCTAAGTTGCTGAGGCTGGCTTTGAATTTATTTTATTTATTTTTTTAAAATATTTTTTAGTTATAAGTGGACACAATATATTTATTTTTATTTATTTATTTTTTTGTGATGCTGAGGATCAAACCCAGGACCTCACACATACAAGACAAGCACTCTACCACTGAGCCCCTGCCTCAGCTTCCTGAGCTGCTGGGATTATAGGTGGCTGCCACCATGCCCAGTGGTTATGTGTTTTTCATGTGCTTTTTAATAAAGTTATAATTAGCTATGCACAATGGCACACATCCATAATCCCAGCCACTCAGGAGGCTGAAGTGGAAGGATCCTGTGTTCAAGGACAGCCTGGGCAACATAGTAAGATTTCATCTCAGGAAAAAAAAAAAAAAAGCCAGGTGTGGTGGTGCATACCTGTAATGCCAGATGTTCAGGAAGCTGAGGCAGGAGGATCACAAGTTCAAAGTCAGCCTCAGCAAGTTAGTGAGACCCTGTCTCAAAAAGGGTTGGGTAGGGCTGGGGATGTGGCTCAAGCGGTAGCGCGCTTGCCTGGCATGCGTGCGGCCCGGGTTCGATCCTTAGCACCACATACAAACAAAGATGTTGTGTATGTGGCTCAGTGGTTAAGTGCCCCTGGGTTCAATCCTTAGTACCAAAAAAAGAATAAATATGTATTTTTGCTTGCTGTGGCAGTACATATATTAAAACTGGAATGATACAGAGAAGAATGGCTCTTGAGCAAGGATGACACACTGATTTGTGAAACATTCCAGTGGATCTACTCCTGCGCGCAGTTCGCACCTCAATTTAAATACTTAAAAGCTATATTAATTCACAGTTTAACTTCTTTTCCTGATTTAGTAATGATGACAGTTAAGAAGTTCTGGCTGATTTAAACAGAAAAGATTTTTATTAAGATATTGCCACAGGTGCATGGGGCTGGGGTTGTGACTCAGCGGTAGAGTACTTGCTTAATGTGCAAGGCCCTCAGTACCACATAAAAATAGATAAATAAAATAAAGGTATTGTGTCCAATTGTAACCAAAAATAAATTTAAAAAAAAAAAAAGTTATTGCCAGGTGGAGCAGCACACACCACTCTTGGCAATTTAGTGAGATCCTGTCTCAGTAAAGGTCTGGAGGTGAAACTCAGAAGTAGAGTGTCTCTGGGTTTAAACCCCAGTACCAGAAATAAAGGAAGGAAAGAAGGAAAGAAAGGATGGATGGATGTGACTCACATTGATGAACCTGAATAGGGAGGATGAAAGGGAGGGTAAGTGCTCTGAACAGAATCCAAACACATGTTCTTAGTACTAATCCAGCCAAGATGCTGCTGCTACTAGATGCCAGACTTTTGTATAAACAATTGTTGTTGATGCATTATAGCCATTTGGATAACTGATAGACATCTTAAACTCATATGTAACCAAACTTATTGTCTTCTTCCCAACCTTACATTTTTCAGTTTTCCCTAAATACTTCTTTATTTTGGTTGCTCAAAGAAGCAACTTTTGGGTTGTATTTTACTGTTATTTCAACCCCACATCTGAGACAGAAATAAATCTTTTTGGCTCAACATTAAAAATATATCCAGAATCCAGCAATTTCTTACACCTCCAGTGTAATATCCTAGTCTAATCCATAGTCATTTTTGCCTGGATTACAGCTGTTACCCTCCTTTTGGATCTCCTTGCTTCTAACATCTTGCCATACTTTACCTATTCAAGTTTAGTTTCACCACACCACTGGAGCTGAAATGATTGATTTCAGATAAATCAAATAATATTCCTACTTTGCTCCAAAGTAGTTTCCATGACACTCAGAGTGGAAAGGCAAAATTTACATGTGCCTACATGATCTGTCCCCTTCCACCCTAACCTTCTCCCTTGCTTACTTTGTTCTAACAGTTTTGACTGCCTTGTTTTTTTCTGGAGTAGAAGATAAGCAGGATGCAGTGGGGTATACCTGTAATCCCAGTGACTTGGGAGGCTGAGGCAGGAGAATCACAAGTTCAAGGCCAGCCTTAATAACTTAGAATGTCTTTTTTAAAAAATTAAAGAACATTGGGGATATATATAGTTCACTAGTAAGCACCCTGGGTTTGATTTTCAGTATTCACCACCACCACCACCACCCCAAAAAAAAGGTAGAGATAAGGCATCAAGATGGATGCATGGATGTTAAGGACCAAAAGGGAAGCCAGGGTAACTAACCACAAACCTCTGAAGTGTTTCTAAAGTAGAAAGGAAAAGAAAGAATGCAAACTGGGTGTGGTGGCATAGACTTGTAATCCCAGCAACTTTGGAGGCAGGCAGGATGATCACAAGTTTGAAGCCCCACTGGACTTTCTGTTTCAAAAAATAAAAAAGGCTGGATATGTAGCTCTGTTCCTGAGTTCAATCTCCAGTACTGCAAAAAAAGGAACTGGTTCAGGAATGAAATGTACTATAAAGGCTTAGAATGAGTCTTCCCTGCTTGAGAGCTTAGAGGCACTCTAGCTTGCTTACATGCTTTCTTGATTAGGGAAGCTATTTGTATATGACATATCCTTCATTAATATGCAGAGAAGTTTAAAAAAGTAAGAGAGACACTATGTACTCAGGTGTGTATCTATTCTAGAAGATAAGATGAAATAGATACTTTAAAAAAATTGGGGATAGGGGTACTGGGGATTGAACCCAGGGGTGTTCAACCACTGAGCCACACCCCCAACCTGTTTTTTATTTTTTAATTTTGAGACAGGGTCTCACTAAGTTGCTTGGGGCCCCACAAAATTACTAAGACTGGCTTTGAACTTGAGATTCTTCTGCCTCAGCCTCCTGAGATGCTGGGATTATAGGTGTGAACCACCACACCCAGCTGAACTGTTATTTCTTGAACAACAATGTAAACACTATTGTGAGTATAAAGGGAAACTGATTTTAGATTTTGGAAATGCTCATAAAAGTCATAGAAATGTCTTTGAGATGTTTGTATAGTATGTTTGTAAATGTATTTTTAAAAAAGGTCAAAAGGACTGTACCTCAGACAGTGGTTATTATAGGGAAGGTCTTAAAGGAGCCTAACCCACGAAAAGACTTGATGCAAGTATTAGGATTTCCTTTATAGCTGAGGAAACTGAGGTACAGAGATGAAGTTATTATTCCAGGTTCTGAAGCTGACTAGAGAGTGGCAGATGCACATTCAGTGCTAGAAGTTTCATTGTAGGCCCTGAACTATTCCTTGAGTATCACGTTCTGCTCTTCTAGCACCTTATAAGTTAGTGCATAGGTGATCAGGGGGTGGGGACATATGTGAGGATGAGGATAAGGAATAGGATACTGAGAGAGACATTGAGTTTTTCCATTTTAGAACCATGTGAATGCGTGAATGCCTTACCTATTTAAATGAAATAAACATTTCATAATCTGCTTCAAAGGCATTATAATAGTACAATTACACATAAAATTAATAATTACAGAAGTTTTTTTTTTTTTTTACTGAAAATGAGTAAACATAAATGATTTATTTAGCTAGGATTACACATGTGTACCATGGTGTTGTAACACACAACTAAACTAGTCAGGGTCACTCCAAGTGAATTTGGGGACTAAATAAGGACATAGACACAGAAAGTACCTTTTCTTTGTGTTCAGTGACCGATCCTCAGCCACAGCTCTCACAAGAGGGGTAAGGCAGGCAAGAAAGAGAAGGAACACACTTTGAACCTGGGTTTATTAGGGAGAAGCCATTCAAATGAGGCAAGGGGTCAGGTTTCAGGGGGTTAAGTCTAGCTTCCTGATGTCTTTCTTGTGAACATCTTGGAAGGTCACGTCCATCTCATGGGCTATGTGATGATCAAAGGCAGAGCAAGCTAAAGGGACACCTACGTGCAGAGCCCAGACAGAGCAGCATCATGAGTCCAGAGCACTTTATGCGCTCAAAATGTTCTCAGCGCACACAGAACCCATGGCTGGCTTGCCACACCATGGTACCCACCAAGCTTTTCAATGGTTTAATTTTATTTATTTATATTTTTTATATGCATTTTACTTTTATGTGATGCTGAGGATCGAAGCCGGGTCCCGCCTGTGCCAGGCAAGCGCTCTAATGCTGAGCCACAATCCCAGCCCTCAATGGTTTTAATAAAACTCACTCTTTTTTGTTTTTTCCCTTTTCTTTTGGAACTAGGGCTTGACCCCAGGGCCTTGCTCATGCTAGGCAAGTACTGTACCATCAAACTACATCCCAGCTCTTTTTAAAAAATTTTATTTTGTGAGACAGGATCTTGCTAAATTGTTCAAGCTGACTTTGCAACCCTTCTGCCTTAGCCTCCCAGGTAGTTGTGATTACAGGTTTGTGCCACCATGCCTGGCAATTAAAAAAAAAATTTTTTTTTAGTTGTATATGGACACAATACCTTTATTTAATTTATTTATTTTTATGTGGTGCTGAGGATGGAACCCAGTGCCTCACACATGCCAAGCAAGCATTCTACCACTGAGCCACAATCCTAGGCCCAAGCCTGGAAATTTTAATAAGATCTTTTATTACCTTTGATGTCTAAATTGGTAGGAATCGTTCTCATCATTGTTTATAAAAATAGGAAAGCACTTTTGTGTCTGCTAAGGCTCCACTGCTGCCTGATCAGTTCTTAGGTAAGTTTAGTACAAAGAATAAAACTTGTTTTTCATTCATTTTATTATCAATCTGCAATATGAAATGTAGAGCAGATGACCATCTCTGTGTTTTATGATAGGATTATTTCTGATTACATGTTGTAAATGAACAGGGCTTTAAGTTCAAGACTGACATGACTGCAGTACAAAGAAAGCCCATTTTTGGGTGCTTGTGACAAAGGTTTACTTTGATTTTAGTTTTTCATTGAATTACAGAAGTGTTGGATTAGTCTTAATGCAGTTGTATTTTTCCAGATACATGTTTATTACAGGAATGTTTAGAAACATTTTTTTAAATGGATATGTTAAATCATGGACATTTTTCTTTCCTAGCCTATTACTTCAGAGTTTTAATGCTTGTTCAATATTATCTAAAAGGACTCAAAGAGGTAAATAAGAGCAGATATACAATGAGTTCTTTTAATTAAAATCAGACTCTTTGTCATGTTACATATAATTCTTTTTTTTTCTTTTGTGGTATTGAACCCAAGGGTGCTCTATCATTGAGCTACATCCTCAGCTGTTTTTCTTTTGAGACAGGGTCTATAAATTGCCAAGGTTGGCATCGAGCTTGCATACTCCTTCCTCAACCTCCTGAGGAGCTAGGATTACAGGCATGTACTGTCATACCAGCTGTTCTGTTTTATTTAATGGGGAGAATACCCAGTGATAAATTTGGAGTTTTAGTGATACACTAATAGAACACTACCACATACAAAAAATAGTGCCAGCACCAAACTGTGGTCTAATCATAAATCATTCTTTTAAGTTGTTTGGTGTCCTTTAGGGGAAAAAAAGGACAAAGAGAAGTCAGAGGTATATCCATGTAGCTACTTTATGTAGTATTCATTTGGTAGAGAAAATCATCCATTTCTTTGCAACCATGAAAACATTCTAGAGACAGTTCATTTCTGTTTCAGTTAGATTCATTTGAAGAATTATTCTGGTTTACTGTCTTCCTTTTTACCTACTTTTTTCCCCTGCTCTTCTCTTTAACTAGTTGTCTCTTGATATATAATTTCTTCTATTAGTGATAGAAGTTCCAGAAAGAGAACAGTTGTAGACATTTGAACTTGAATTACTGGAATTATTTTTCATCTTCTCTTTAAAACCTAAAATTTG